TAATTTGAGAGAACTAAAAAATTGTATTGAAGAAGATATTTGGTGGATTTTGGAGGACTTAGATAAATTGTTCAAATATAATTTATGTTGTTATAGTAATTTAAAAATTAAAAATATATTAATGATAAGCACATTTGTCATTCTATACAAAATCTATTTTCAAAAAGTATTAAAGATTTCTCTATATTTTTATATATAAAAAATCGTTTTTCAAAGCTCTCAGTTCTTCTCCCCTAAAAACTCTCAAACAAAGACTAAGTCGACAATTGTTATATTTGTTCCTTATCTTCCAAAGAACCAAGGATGGTTAAGAAAAGGAGTGAGTTACAAGAGTGTAATCAGTTTTCAGCCAAAAGCAATGCAAGTTGGAGGCAATAACATGCTCCATGAGAAAAATATCCCTCACGGTCTCTATGAAAAATGAATCATTGGGGCTAAGGTAACAAGCAAAAATACCAAGGTGTCTACCATTGTGGTCTCAAAACATGCCCCCACAAGCTACAATTCATGGAGAGAACCAACCGAAGAACCATCTGAATTATCTTTAATCCAGTTCAAAAGAGGAGGCTTCCACACAACTTCTTTGATCACCATAAGAGTGAGACAAATAATGGGGAGCCTAAAAGTTTTAAAAAGAACAAAATATTTAATGGACATACTATTTGAAGAGATCTACGAGCATTTTCGTGAGAGAGACACTTTAAAGAATATTCTAGTGGCCACGACTTCTCATATGACAAGGATACCATTGAATTTGACATCATTTATGACCTTCCAAATACTAGCAAACACATTGGCAATGCTTGCAAGCAAAAGGATATTGAAGCTAGTAGAGGCCTAAGCATCCAAGACTGACTAATAATTAGCCAAAGATTTAATAACACAAATGCAAGTAAGATTACTCAACCAATTTCAAAGGTGCATAACATAATCACAATCAAAGAAAAAATGACTAAGGCATTCAAAATTCCTCTTACAAAGACTGCACATGAATGGTATATGCATACCTCTGAGACATAATTCCTCATCAATTTGTAGCTTGCCATGCATGATCCTCCAAAACAAAAGAGAGGTCAATGGTGGTATATCATTGTTTCAAGTTTCTTTCTCTAATGCATAAGGTGTGTAGACTGACTTGGGCACACAAGCCTTCTTGAGGTTAAGGTGGCAACCAACTTTAAGACATTAAACCAACATATCCTCTATCTCTTTAGCAATGATCACATTTTGGGATAAAGAATACAAACTAGGGAAGGTAAATAACATATTAGTATGAAGAAATATCTTGTGGTCATGAATAAAAGAGCTAAGAATTGACCTTAAATTCCCATGAGTGCTCATAGGTATCTACAAATGCTTATCCAGAGTTTTACCACACTAGTTATCAAGCCAGAAATTGTTCTTGTCTCATTTTCCAACTAGCCATGTAGAGTTAACTTTAAAACTTTGAAAATAAGCTTTCAAATTAGTATAAATAGAAGAGGAAATGTGATGCTTAATGAGACCACCTTGCATATAAACTCTGGCTCTAAGAATGAGGGTCCGCAGGTCCTAAAATTTTGACATTCCAAAAAAAATTAAGCATATTTAATGCCTCTTTAAGAGTGATTAGTGATCTGATCCTAAGACCACATGCAATCAAATCTTGACAACACCTTTTTGAAGACACTGTGACCATTTCCCTTTTAGAATTGTCCTCACTCCAAATGAAGTTCATGCACAATCTCTCAACGACCTGGAGTAAGTAAGCGAGTCAGGAATCAATCATCAGGGAGTGTACAAGCATAATTTAGATCACAAACTTGACCAAAAGAACCAACCCTCCCTGCAATAGACAAAATATGATCCTTCTAAGATGTCATAGAGCCTTCATAGATGATAGACTTGGAATGATTAATATTTTGGCATGAGCGAGCATAGTACCTCATGAAGAACTCTTTGCAGAATCCATGGAGAAAGTGTTTCCTTTGAAAAAGATCATAATGTCATCAACATAAAGAGTGTGAGATGGAGATTTTTGATGCATATAAGCACTAATGAGGGAAATATTGTTTTTAAAGGCCGAGATAGATAGACTTCAACTGAGGGCATCTGCATTTATTCAAAATAAAAAGGGAGATAGAGGGTCTCCATGCCTAACACCTTGCTTGGAAGTGAAGATACCCCTTTGCTAACCATTGACTAAGATAGAAATGAAGGAAGATGCATGCTGTATCCAATCCAATAATAGAAAGTGTTATGGAAGCCAACTTTATTCGTAACATACAGGAGGAAGTTTTTGGACATATGATTTCTCATACAAGAGGAGGGGGTGAATTGTGTGTTTTAGAAAATCTTGGATTTGAAAAAAAAAATTGAATAAAAATCAGAGCTTGTAAACAATTTTAGAAAAGGTTTATAAATACGCGATAGAAAATAAAATTGCAGAATATAAATTATGGAAATAAATAGTTTAAGGGATAAGAGAAGAACATCATAAATTATATAGGTTCAGTAAAAAACGACTTAATCTTGTCCCCAATAATTGATCTTGAGTGTAGCCAATTGAACTTGATAGTTTTAGTAGGTATAACTCACGAACCCCCTTATACAAAGAAAATGAAGTTATGACTAACTTCCAACCAAAAAATAAATTGAGGAGTGAAGCAGCGAGTCTTACTTTCAAATGATGGATTGAAGCGGTTAGTCCTCTATCCACAAGAATCCTGAAGCATTTATTTTTCAAGCTTTTAAATAAACCTTGGGAGATTTTAACACTAAGATGCTCTCTTTAACCTAAACCTTGATTTTATACAGGGCTAACCAATAACCTGTGAGATTTTACCACATACTGATCTCAAACCCAAACAATCTTTTAACACATGGATAAACTTTAGCCTAAATTTAGTTTAATCACAGACTAACCAAGAACCTATTACATTTTACCACGAGATTATCTCGAACATAAACAAAAGACTTGATCATACAAATCCCAAACATAAGCTTTTTACAAGTTAAGCTTCAAACTAAAACAATTAATCACTAAGTGTACAGAATGTTCAACCAAGGTTAATATAAAACTTACTTGGTGAAATTAGAAAATTACCCTTCCAGAACTACATTTTCCTCACTCACAAAAGGACTTTCTCAAAAAAGCACTTCGGCTAAACTTTTAGTGTGAGAAAGTAAAGAAAAAGAATTTTTAGAGAGAGAGTGAGAGGTGAGAAGTAAAAACAACGCTTCTGGATGTGAAAAAGAGTGGAATGAGACTTCTATTTATAGGCTAGAGATTAACACAAAAAAGGGATGGTTTTAAGGCTTTTTTTGACTTGACAATCTATTGGCAATATGTACCAATCAAGCTTTCAATTGGTAACTAACAAAAGTTATTAATTACTCAAGTTTTCAAATTAAATTATATTTTTTATTGATAAAAAAGATAAAAGATAATTTTGAAAAAAAAATAAGTCACACCAAAAATTTGTATCCCTTTTATATATAACTAGCGTCCAGATCCGCTTTTTTAATGCGCATAAAAATATAAACGATAATTTTTGTTAAAATATATTTTTTTTAAAAATACAATATGTGGAAGTTAATAATAAGAAGTTATGTGGAAGTTAAAAATAATAAATTATGTGAAAGTTATTAAGTAAATTACACAATAAAATAAAGATAAAAATGGTAGAAAAATAGGCCACACCAAAACAAAGTATTTCCTTTATATATTGAGTATTTCTTTTATATATTGTATTGATTATAAATATCAATTGCTTTTAAAAGAAAAACTTTTATAATCCAAAAAACTACTCTGTTTTTTTAATACACCATAATAACATTGAAATTTTTATATCAAATTACACATGGTACAAATTAAAAAACCTTCTTATCCCTAAAACTGAATCTTTAAATTACAATTAAAATTCATTACAACTAAACAATTTTCAATTTCAATCGATCAATTTTTAATCTTCCATTTTAGACTTTAAATTGAAAAATAGGGAAAGTTGCGGCACAAAGAAAACACCACTACGAGGGCAAGACAAAAGACACACTGGCCGAAAAGGGGATGAAACAAAAGTTGCGGCACAAAGGAAACACCACTATGAGGGCAAGACAAAAGACACATTGGCCAAAAAGGGGATGAAACAAAAGTTGCGGCACAAAGGAAACACCACTATGATGGCATGACAAAAGACACAACGGCCAAAAAGGGATGAAACAAGGCTACACAACGGCCAAAAAGGGATGAAACAAGGCTACACAACGGCCAAAAAGGGATGAAACAAGGCTACAAATTACATACTATGGCACGATGAAGCAAGGCGCCAAGCTACAAACTATGGCGCTAGGATGTAAGACGATAATAAGCAGTGGCAAAGAAGCACGGCGGCGAGAGAAAGTTGAAAATACATAAGAAACGGTGGCAAAGAAGCATGGCGGCAAGAGGAAGACACAATGTTGTGACAATGAGAAAAGTTAGAGAGAAGATGTTGTCCGTGCAAGAGAGGAAACAACTAAGAATACTGAAATTTTTATTTTGTTTTTAATCTAAACCGTTTATTTGTTTTCTGCCACATGTCAAACACACATGAATCAGGTGGAGATTAGAACTGTAGCAGATCTTAACTCCACAAGGTCCACTAGAAGTTATAAGTATTATATCAATAATTTCTTATGTTCAAGCATTCAGAGAGCAACACCTAAATCCTTTATGCAACTCGTAGGTCGTCGCTGCCTTGCAACATCCTCAAGATCAATACGAATGTTGCTATACAATCGTGGCTTTGGTTGTGTCATTCTTGATCACAATTGGAACTTTTGTTGCTGCATAGTGTTATACATAAGATATAAAATGCAGGAATAGAGGGTTAATGATACTTGTAACTAAACAAACAATGATTGTACTTGATATTAATGTTTACATGCACAAGGTCTCTCGTTCTATGGTGCTGATATCCTATCAAGGCACAAATTGAGTAAAAAGTTTAACAGAAATAAAAATGTTGAATACACCATTTTCATCTTTTCTTAAAACCATACTTCTTTCGTTCGTAGAATAAATCAGTTTTGGCACTACCTAAGTTAACAATCTTGGGGCAACCATCCCTATCTTTCTCCTGCTGTGTGCATTCCTTGCAGTAGTAAGCATCTGAAATCCCTACTCCTCCGCATATGACACATCGACCTTGAAATGATCCATAGTTGCACTCATCGCAGACCCTGACAAGTGTACATGGACGCACATAAGAGTCGCATATCACACACTTGCCATCACATTTCTCACACAATCGTCCGATAGCAATTCCTGGCTGCTTACGGCACATGATCAAATCAGGATGATGTTTGGCCATGTTTTCTACAACCTGCTAGATGCTGAGTTTGTACAAAAAATGATAAGTGTTGTATACAATTGAAAATTGAGCATAATTTAGTTCTTGTAAAACAAATTATAGCATAAAATTTTGCAACAGAATATTGGGATAGCTTCATTGTAATCTTGATATTAATCTTTCCTAATAGATATGCAAAACGCAAAAGAGACTGAAATCTATTTTAATCAGCGGAACCCGTAGTCTCTTCATCTCATTAGCTAAAACATGAGCATGATATTTCCATAAGAAGAACATGGATTCAGGCTGTAGCTAATAATCATAACAAACAATTGACTACCTCAAAAACATAAAGAACCACTGCATGTAGAAGTATTCAATGATATTCTTTTTTAGCAAGTTGCAGACATAAGGCTAACCAAAAGTCAATTTTACCACCCAACAATAGGCTCCAGATTCGGTTTTATCACACTACACTATAGCTTCTAGATCACAATAATGGCAGAGGAAGAACTATCAATCCTAGCTAGCTCATAAACCCTCAAGAGCCTAATAACATTATTTGTAAGCTTTGCCTGCCTTATTAACATTGTTAAAAGTTTTATAATGTATAAACTACAGTCCTACACAATACAATATAACTCACCCTGATACATAGAGTAAAAGCCTGTATAAAACTTCAGGTTGATGAATAATGACGAAATGTGTCTAGTTATCAATGACAACAATTTCCCACTCACTTTTTTGTTTGAGAAATGCCACAATGTCACAGGAATCTCAAATAAACTTATACAACTGTGTACTGCCAAAAACTCTAAAACCTCCAACATGCTCTAACTCCAAGTACTGATTTTTTTTATTCAATATCCATTAGTATGAGCACTAAAACAAGTACAACTCATGTTTAAAGGTAAACTAATTCCAATACAGAAAGGATGAATTTTAAATCAAAACTCTTCCCTACAAAATTTAATAAAAATGAAAATCCAGAATAATGGTAAAATTAACCCACACTTTACTCATCCGTGTGAACTCTTCAAAAAAGCCAAAGTCCGCTCAAAGAAGATCCCACGATGCCAAAAAGTTCAGTGGGCTAAAGCCAGAGAAAGTATAAGAATACTTATCCCAGTTTAATCTTTTATCCTTCCATTTTGCAGGGTATTCTTGAAAACCAAACTTCCATAAGTGAAAAAGTTTAACCATTCTATAAGGTAAAGGTTCAGTAATCATAGTATATTCAGTTAACGTAAAACCTTCCTCACATTTGTCCTAAAATGACATATTAGCTTAAGTTCTTCTTCCAATTGTTAATGTTACTTGTATAATAATCACACATCCTGAAAATGATTGTGAGGTGTTTAAACATCATTCCTAATTTCCTTTAACCTACTAAGACAACCGTGGTATTCTGAAGCATCCTAATTAAGCATCAATTTTATAAAGCTTGGCCGAGTGAAACCCGATGTGTGTTTATCAATTGAAGCAGCCATAAAAACAAACCAAAATCAAGCAACCTTAACACAACTTAATGCACAACATCATTCTACATTTTTATGGATGCTTGGAGGATAACATGTGTGAAACTTTTTCTTCTAACAATCAAGCAAAAGGAACCCCCCTATGACAGTGAAACTCAACTAATTATTTCTTCAAAGCAGCGGTTAGTTTCAGTTCAGTAACATATTAGCTATAATTCAAGCATAACAGCAGTTGTTCTTACTACTATCGGCTGCTACAGCAGTGATGTGGTATTTCCATATTATCCAAAAGGATTGCACTAACATGTAAGGTTTTAAAAAACGGTCTTTACGGTGCCGCTGATACCGCTTTTCACCGTTTTTATGATGAAAAAGCTTTTCACCGTTTATATGATGAAAAAGAAATTGTTGCGACAACGGCAATCAGTATTGCAACAACAAGGTATTACCAAAAATTCTAAAACCTCTAACATGCTCTAACTTCACGGTCTTGTTGCGACGGAAGTTATTTAAAACCTTGCTAACATGTTTCTTGTGCATAGTAAATGAAAGTTATCAATATTCCCTAAAACTCATCATAAATTGGTGCCATTTTTTCCTCTTAACCACTTTCAAATCAAAACCAGAACAAGTGTAAGCAAAAACGAAAACCTAAAAATTAACAATAAGCAGTGATTGGAAGGAAATTGGAAGAAAAATTAAACTTTATAGCATAAATCACGTGGAAATGGGTAAACAAATCAGAATGAAAAATCATGAATAAAGACAGCGTAAGATGAAGAAGAAGAAGGAACAAGCTAACCTGTGGTGAGTAGAAGAGTAGTGTTAAACGATGTCGTTTTGTCTGAACTGAGAACCTTATGCTGTGACGGAGGCAATGAAAAAGAGAGCGAAAAGAAAACACAAAAAGTGAGAAAGTTGAGTAATGGAATTGGAACTTCTAAAAGAGTCCAGATTCTTGAGCCAAGGCCCAATACGAATTTACTTGCTGATATTATTTGCACCATCCTATATTTAAATGGCTAAATAAAAAACAAAAGCTATCTTTTGAGTATATTGTAAAAAAAAATATTGATGGGTTAGATGAATATTCATATATTAAAAATATGATAATTAATTTATTATATAAAAAAATTGTAAATAATTTTTAGTAAATTATTAATAGATTGATAAATAAATTTGATTCATTAATTATTATTTATATTCATCCATCTAAGGCGATTGTATTCTCCTAGCAGATTTTTCTTGATATGTTTTTTTTAAAGAAAATTTATTCAAGAGAAATGTTATTGTCGATCCTGATCTTACTTTGCATCTCTTTTGTGGTATTTCTGTCGAGACGGCGGCTCACTTGTTTGTCACTTGTGACTTGACTAGTACGGTCTAATATAAAATTTTCAGTTGGTTGGATTGATAGATAGTTCTTCCTATAGACTCGAATATTCTTGTTAAAAGTTTCATCTCTTTAGGTGGTAGACATAAGTCTAGAGGGGGACTTTCTATGACCTGTCATGCAATGTATTGGTTTATTTGGAGGGTTAGGGATGAGGTTGTATTTTATGGGTCTTTAACAAACGTGAAAGATGTGGAGGAGAAAAATGTTTTTTTTTTGCTTGGAAATGATTTTGGGGAGATCAACTTATAACTCTTGCACCTTTACAAAATAAACTATATTCTTCAGATTAACCAATAGCAGTTTGAGATTTATGGTTAGGTTGTGAATGTGTGTTCCTTTCTTTTTCGTGGTAGTCTTTGATCCGATATTGGAAGTCCTACTAACTTAAGATCTAGCTTGTTCTTCATTATGATGTAGTTTTGAGGAGGTGTTTCTTTGCAATTTGACTCGTGGTGGCTTTTTTGCTTTTCGTACTTGCATTTATGTCTTCTTTAGTTTATTTTTTCTTGAATTTTCAGGTGTAGTTTTCAGTAGATCTTGTGTTATTTTTGTGCTGAATTGATCCCTTTTTTTTCTTCTCATTTTTACTATATATAATTATTATTTTCTTTCAAAAAAATATTTACATTCATTCAATCCATTAATTTTGTCATGGTAAGAGGCAATCAAGTTCCTTAACAGAATTAATAGTCTGTTATTTAACAGAAAATCAATTTTATTTTAAGTTGAAGCTTCTTTAGCTCATTGTAAAAAAAATATTTTTATATTAAATTTAAAAATAGGGTATGTGAATGGAATAGTACAATCATGGTCCTCATAAATATGAGTCTCTCAAAGAAATTTAAAATTGGTAGGGAATTAAGAAAAATCATGTAGGATGGGAGTAAGGATAGGTGATGAGAATGTTATTAATTTTTGGACATTCATGAAGAATTATTGTGTAATATGTTTCTTAGGTTATTTGATACATCTGAATATAAAGAGTTTACCTAAAAATACTTGGTGTTAGTGTAGGTGCAACAATAACTAATTGGAAGTGGAGAAGAATGATTTTTTTTCATAAAAGACATAATTGGTAGAGATATGTAATTGAATGATGTTAAGAGTGTTAATTAAAGAAAGAGAAATATATAAGAGGGAATGAAGATGTGGAAGGGTTTGGTGTACCCCAATAAAAGTGGTTTACTACATTTTAAGTACTAGAGATATCAGAGAAGTGGCTACTGTTTCGAGTCAGTCAAATACCCAATCAAAAGAGACTTATTTATCACTTCAAAGATGTCCAACAACTACTCAATTTATTGGTATAAATACTTCTACATGCATAAGACCTATGTACATACATACTTTTCATGCTTCACTCTATCCTTTTGAACTCATTAAGTGACTTGGGGCATTGGAATGCTAACATTGTAGGTACATCCTTGTAATTCACTGCATCAAAGACTTCCAACTTCAAATCAGGAGTCCAACATCATAATTCAAGCATAATTTTGGTTTCAACCCGGAACAGTGGCGTTGTCCATGGGAAACGACTACTGATTCTCGCAAAACTCTGCGATTAGATCTAGTCTAATTCAAATTCAAATTGCAATAGTAAAACCCTTCCATGGAGAAAGTGACTCACGATTTTGAACCATTTCTCTCCTCCAAACAATACTACTAAAAAATACACATTCGGTAACATAATATTACCACGATCGTGACTTCCACCGTTGTAATATATGAAACTGAATGCGTCTAATGCTTTTTTTAAAAGTCATTTTATCACGGTTGATAGACACAACCGAGGTGATAGAGTGAGTGGTACAAGTTTCTAATCCTGACAACTACATTTTTTATTTATTTTTCTTATTACAAAAAGCGTGTGTCACTTAAATTCATCAATAAATAAAAAACTGAAGATTATTTAATTACAAATTTAATATGCAACCATTTTAATATTATTTGTACAAACTTTGCTCTTCCCTAAATAGAGAAATGTTCTTCCCAACTATAATGATGATTGAAAATTTGTTTTATTTTTCAAGACAAACACAATATCATTCAAGGATATCAACCATTGAAAGTAATCATTGCAAACATTAAATCATCAGATCTTTCATCTTCAACCTCTTCTATAAAGGCACAGTTTCATATAATGAATT